GTCATTGATGGACATTTGGGTTATGTATAATATTACTATAAACATTCATGTGCAAATATTTATTACACTACCTGCCTTTACTTGTTTTGTGTATATTCCTAGATGTGGAATTGGTGAAGCGATATGATAATTTGTTAAACTTTTTGAGCAGCCACAAAACCATTTGCCACTGTAATTGCCCCACTGTATGTTCCAACCATCGATATGTGAGAATTTCTTCACATTCTCGCCCATATTTATTTTCCATTTTCAAATGATAGACATCATAGTACTTGTGATGTGATAATACAGTGTTGTTTTGATTTGCATTTCTCTAGTGACTAATGATGTGGAGCATCTTTTCATATGCTTAATGGTCATTTGTATATCTGAATGTTTATTCATGTGTTTTCTGCATTTTTTAATTGGATGGTTTATATTTTTGTTAAGTTTTTAAAAAATATATTCTGAATACTAAACATCATACTGTATGGTCTTTTCACTTAACAATGCTCTTTTATGGGTACAGTTTTTAATTTTACTGAAGTCAAGTTTATATATGTCTTCTTTTGTTGCTTGTGCTTATAGTTCTATCTAAAAATTTATTGCCAAAAAAAGTCAAGATTTACTCTTATGGTTTCTTCTAAGAGTTTTATACCTTTTGCTCTTATATTTAGGTTGTTCCATTTTAAGTTAATTTTTAAGTATAGAGTGAGGTGATGATCCAACTTCATTATGTTGCATGTGAATATCCAGTTTTCTTATTAACATTTGTTAAGGAGACTACAGTTTTCCCATTAAACAGTTTTGTATTTTTGTTGAAAATCAAGTGGCATTAGATGTATGGGTTTTCCTTATGGACTGTCAATTCTACCTGTCATGTTGTTCTACTCAGAAGAGGTTCACACCCCTATGATTGCATCCCCAACCAATCAGCAGCACCCATTCCCTAGCCCCCTGCCCACCAAACTATCTTTTAAAAACCCCAGCCTCCATATTTTCAGGGAGGCTGACTTCAATAACAGTAAAACTCTGTCAATGAAAAGACTCAAACTCTGTAAAATATTTGAAGAGATTATTCCAAGCCAAATGCAAGTGTCCATGGCCCAGGACACAGCCCTCAGAAGACACTGAGAACATATGCCCAAGGTGATTGGGCCACGGCTAGGCTTGTACATTTCAGTGGGACATAAGACATCATGCAATATATTTAAGGTACACATTGGTTCAGTCCAGAAAGGAAGGACAACTGGAAGCAGAGGGGGCTGGGGGTAGAGGGTGGGGTGGGGGGCATGGGGGTTGGGGGGGGTGTGGGGCTTCCACATTATAGGCAGATTCAAAGATTTTCTGGTTGTCGGTTGAGTTTATCTAAAGACCCGGAATCAACAGAAAGGAAATGTCTGGGTTAAAATAAGAGATTTTGGAGAACAAGGTTCTTATTATGCAGATGAAGTTTCTAGGTATCAGGCTTCAGAGAGAAGAGATTGTAAATTTTTCTTACCAGACTTTAAAACGTGTCAGACTCTTGGTTGATTCTCTCCTGGATCAGGAAAAATGGTCTGGAAAAGGGAAAGGAGATTTGCTACAGAGTGTAGATTTTTCTCCACAAAGGACAACTTTTCAGGGCTATTTCATAATAGAGCAAAGAAACATATTTAGGGTTCAAATATTTTGATGTCTTTTATCAGTCATGAGATGTTGTAACAGTCAGGTTGGAAAGTAAGTCACATTACATAAGGTTAATTAAAACCCCTCTCATGAGACTTTATGATTTGGAGGCTTGACTCCCCAAACCCTTAGATAGGAATTTGGGCATGAAAAAAAAAAAGGGCAGAGTTCAGTCTTCACTCTGGTCTCCTATTTAGCCAGCTCTATGTGTATTAAACTCTTCTCTATTGCAATTCCTCTGTCTTGATAAATTGTTTCTATCTGAGCAGTGGGCAAGATGAGTCCATTGGGTGGTTACTTGTCTCTGTTCCTTTTATTAGAGAGAGTACTTAACCAGAATTTGAAATTTTCACTGATGCAGGGCAGTTTCTTGACTTTGCTTAGGAAATAATTCAAGAGCAAGCCAGCAGTGGAAGAAAGCAGTGTTAAAGCTCAGTGACTGCTCCTTGCAGACCAAGGCTAGTCCATAGGCAGTGTGCCCAGAGTAGCAGCATATGGGCTGTTGGCTAGGTATACTTAAACTTTTCATTACATGCAAATTAAGGGGTGAGTTACCAGAAATTTCTAGAAAAGGGGTCAGTAACTCCTAGGTGTTGCCATGGCATTTATAAACTCTCATGGTGCTGGTGGGAGTGTCTTATACTGACAGGAAGCAAAGGGACATAACAGAATGAGTACATTCTATGTTCTTATACTTTAACCAAGGTATTTATTTTAGGCATACTCAAGCACAGCTTATGCCCCTTCCCTATTTGGAAATATTACTACTTCTCTAAGTCCTTTTGCAAGCAACTTCCTCTTTTCTGTTGTTCTCCCTTGCCTTTACCTATTTAGGAAAGTTTTAAGTTATTAGCCAGTCAGGTTCAGCTTAGATTGTGCGGTCCAGCTCCAGCCAATGGAGACAGGACACAGTAGCAGGGAGAAGCTGTGTAAGTGATAAAAATTGCTTCCCTCCTTTGTTCTGGTGTGTTCCCGCCATTGTTCCGTCTGCCAGGTGCACCCTTTCTGCAGAAAATAACATTGCCTTGCTGAGAAAATTTTTTATCTGAATGGTGATTTTTCCTTGCGGTACGGAGGAATAAGCATTCTGTTTCTGAATAAACATTTTACTTAGGAACTTACAGGTTGCTTTCCATCACTTGTGAGTTTCAGCAGGTTTCTTATCTGGTCTTGGAATCATGCCCTGCTGGTCTGTAGCCTCAGCCCAAATTGAACATTGTTCCAATGTTTACAGCTACTCTTATGTAGTCAACTTACATATTGTGTTTTTTATCCTCTCATAACAAAGTTGGGAAAATATTTAGTTTCTAAAAATAAAAAAGAAATAAAGTAAAAAAACAAAACAAGAAAAAATATTTAGTTTCTACCTAGGAGAAAAATGAATAGCATAGCTTTCTGTATTTTTTGCATTTCATATCTTAATCTCTCACTTCCCCTTCCTCTCCTTACTGAATATTCACAGATACCTTTGGCAAATCATAAGACACCTTTACAGATTCCTGATTCTGAGAGCAATAAGTGATGTGATTCCTTAATCTGAACTGAATTTTTTCAAGATTTTATATAGGTTAGAGCCTATTCAATACTATAATACTTTCTTTAGTATCCTGTGAATGGAATACAAGAAAAGTGGAGAATTTTGCTGCTTTTGTTTCATGTCCTGCTGTAAAATTGCATCTCCTTTTTTGAGCATTTTCAATCACAGATGAATCCAGATCCATATAATAAAAAGTCTTGCTCAGGGCGGCTCTGGCCACCTCTTTTATTACCTCTGTTTCTAGCTCACACATTCCTTCATAGTTTCCTTTTTTTCATATTTGCAACTCTGTCACATATAAAAGGGAACAATGGCAAAAAGAAAAAGTGTGAGGGTCCCAACAAGACGGGCCCACAGACCCCGCCCCTCCCATGCATTTTCCCGTTAAGCCAAGCTCATAACAGAAACAGCCTCAGGCCTTGTAAACAGGGCACCTAGATTCCAAGATGTGGTGGCACCTAGCTCTTGGACCCAGATGTTGACCCAATTAAGCAGGATGTCAGTCCCTGAGAACCAAGATGCGGTTTTTCTTAGAATAGCACCCGGCTACCTGCAAATCCCCTAGTCTGTAAGACGGGCTGCTGCCTTCACTGCCTGTGGTGAGGGAGCCTTGCAGGTTGAATAAAACTTGCTAAACCTGGTCTTGGGTCTGTCTCTCCTTTCCTTCGGTCAACCTTACAAAAAGCAGGCTGAGCTCTATAAACACTGACTTTGGCTCCACCGGCTAATTCAAAAGGAAAATTTCAGGCTGGCGGGAAGTCCAGCCCTACAGAGGATTCTGGGACGTCTAGTCCAGACTTTGGTGGGTACTTCCGCTCCGGGAAAGCGCGGCTTTGTTATTTGCTCCACTAGGGAAGTAAGAACCCATAACCCACTGCTCAGTGGGCTCGGTAGTACTTTGTCTACCTGAAGACGAGAACACAAAGCCCGCTTCCCTCAGGGATTCTGGGAAATAAGACTAGGCAGTGGTAGTTGAAGCAGGTACTTCCGCCTAGAGGGGCGGTTCAGTGGCTTCCGTTCCTCTCCGGGATGCTGGGAAGTGTAGTTCTCGAGCCCCCGCTGCGGTCCGAGGCACTTCCGCTGCAGAACGTTGAGAGTGTGGCCTTCATTCCTTTGGCGTAGGTGAGTGAGCCTTGGGACCCCGCGACCTTTTTTAACTTTTGTGGTTTGGTCGTAGGATCAGCGGGGCTCCCGGGTCAGCGGGGCTCCCGGGTCAGCGGGAAAGGAAGCTGCGGTCAGCAGCGGAGGGCGGATTTGAATGGCAGGGCAGCTGTTTGCCTTCCTCCCTCCGGAGCCGCTGCGTTTGGGGCGGTTCGGGAGTCCTCAGGTTAGAGGCGATCTGGATCGGGCTGTGTCTGAGGTCTCCTGGACAATCTGCGGCCCGACCCGCCTCACCTTACCTACTTCCCACAGCTCTATCGCTTCCTAGCGGTATAACGTTGGGTGGGAACTTAATCTTGTGGTGCTTAGTTTCTGGTCGTAGTTACCTCTTTTGCAAAGGGGAATATTGACCTTATACATTTGTTTTGACAATTAGTAATATAGAACAAGTAAAATGTGTATAGAATAGTGCAGGAATGTGGCAACCTGTTGGCTGTTAATATTAAAACTATCATAATAACCTTAAAATTATTCATTTTTCAGCAAGCACCTCTGAGTACCACTGGCCCTTCTTTCTGATCCCTTCAGGAACGGAGGTTGTTCTTGACTATTTCTGACCTGTTTTTAAAGAAATACTGCATCCCCTAACAGGTGGCATCTGGAGTTATCTTGTGTGGATTTTCCAGGATCTCAGAAAAGATTGTGCAATCTCCCAGCCTCCTTTCCTTCCCCTGCCCTGACTTCTGAAAGAATGCTGCGGAGAGGAGGAAGGAGAGTACCCTGGCTCCTGGCAGCAGAGCCCCACGGTGACAGGACCTAGCAGTCACCCTTCTCTTCTGCTCTGAGTGGGAGAAGGTATTTCATTCATTGGCAAATCTTTCTGCTATAGAAGTGTTCCGTTATTGTTGAATAATTGGGAAAATGTGACATGAATACTAGTCACACTAAACATTGGGTGCTGAGTATACTCTAAGGGCTGTATAAAAATTAACACACTAAACCTTCACAAAGGCCCTGTGATGTGGGTTCTGTTCACCTTCACAAAGGTGATGTGGGTATTGTGATGTGGGTATTGTGATGTGGGTTATTACACCAATTTTACAGATGAGGAAATGGAGACATCCTAAGTTACTTTCCTATGTCACAGTGCTAGTAAGAACAGTGGGATTTCTATCCTAGGCTTGGGTTCCTTACATCTGACTATCTGTATCCCGCAGTTTGAAATTCCAAATTAGAATTAGGAAATAAAATAGAAGAACAATCCACATAAATAATCATAGGAAACTGGCTGCAGAGGAGGCATTTGGGATCACATTGGGGAGGGAGGTTGGAATTTTACCGTAGAGGATTTTGAAAGCAAGGTTTTTTGGACTTCTTTATAAAATTTTGAAACAATTCTTATTTAATTTTAAGCAATATTAGTAGTTCATATTCTGATCATAGAGATGCATGTTCTCTGTACAGGATGCAGAAAATACAGAAATATAAAATACTACAAATTTCCTTAATACCAGGATGTGGATAATTAGTAACATTTTAATGCATTTCTGTTTAGCAGTTTGTAATGCATTTTCGTGTGTTTTATGAAATTATTATCACACTATTTATAGTGGGTCTTATTCCCTTATTTTTTTTCCTGTGGAAATTTCCAAACATATCCAAATATGATGAACTCTTATGGAACAGTCACCCTGCTTCCATTCTTGCTAATCTTATTGCTTCTCCCACAAGGCTTTTTTCCCTTAAGTGTTTTAAAAGAAACCCAGATATTGAGTCAGTAAGGCTTAAAATCTAGTAACTATCATTAGTTTTTAGTTGTGGGGGGTTTAATTGTGTGGGTTTTTGTTTTGTTTTGTTTTGTTTTTGAGATGGAGTCTTGCTCTGTTGCCCAGCCTGGAGTGCAATGGTGTGATCTTGGCTCACTGCACCCTCTGCCTCCTGGGTTGAAGCGATTCTCCAGCCTCAGAGTAGCTAGGATTACAGGTGCCTGCCACCAAGCCTGGCTAATTTTTTATTTTTAGTAGAATTTGGGTTTCTCCATGTTGGCCAGCCTGATCTCAAATTTGACCTCAAGTGATCTGCCCACCTCAGCCTCTCAAAGTGCTGGATTACAGGTGTTAGCCACCATGCTGGGCCTCATTAATTGTTTATATGTGAAGGCCAGGGGTGGGGAGATTATATTCATTTGCCAGAGCTGCTGTAAGAAAATACTATAAATTGGTGCGTTATACAGAAATGTGTTTGTTACAGTTCTGGAGGCTAGAAGTCCAAGATCAAGGTGTCACCAGTTTTGGTGTCTTGTAAGGACTCTCTCCTCTGTGTGCTTGAGCTCCCTTGACGTATTGTATGTCAACTTTATCACCTCTTTAAAGCCCCTAATTCCAAAGACAGTTATTTTCTGAGAAACTGAGTGTTTGGCCTTTAACATTTTGAGAGAGGCACGCAATTCAGCCATAATAGATAGTAACAGAAACTCTGAGGTTTTTCACTCTAGGCAGCTAGGAGAATGCCACTTATGTGAGAAAGCTGGAACGAGCTGCAATTAGGAAAAGGAAGATGATTGATTTTCTTTGCTTTTTTGGAGTTGCACTTGCCACTGGCATATAACTTTTGGTCTCTTATCTCTCCCATTAGACTTTAGGGACCTGTTTCATGGACATTATTATATTCTTCTCAGAGTACCCAGCAAGAGGTTTGCAAAGAGGAGTTATTCAACGAGTAAGTGTGATTCATGTAGCTGTCCAACAGACATCTGGATTTAGGGTATCACAGCTTGCAATTAGAGAACAAAATAGAAAGATTATCTGTAGTCTTTGTCCATTATCTCACCTACATTTGGTGGGCTGTAGAATCTGTCAACTTTGTCAGAGTGTTCAAAAGTGGATGTACAATTGTGAATAATATTATCAAGATCTAAAACAAACTCCCTTAAAGATAAATCAAATCACTGTTAAGGTTCAGGTTTTTTTTTTTTTTTTCAAAGTCTTGTTCTTTTACCAAGGCTGGAGTGCAATGGTGCGATCTCGGCTCATTGCAGCCTCTCACTTGGGAGGCTGAGGCAGGAGGATTGCTTGAATTGAGGAGTTCAAGATCAGCCTGGGCAACATAGTAAGACCTTGTCTCTGTAAAAAGTCAAAAAATTACCTGGGCATGGTGGTGCACACCTGTGGCCCCAGCTACTTGGATGCTGAGGTGGGAGGATCGTTTGAGTCCAGGAGGTCTAGGCTTTAATGAGTCATGATTGTGCCACTGCACTCCAGCCATGGCAGCTGAGCAAGACCCTGTCTCAAAAAAAAAAAAAAAGATTTTATTGATAGAAGCCATTAATGAGGACAGGTTTTATGTTACTGAATGATACGTGCTTTTCTGCATCTAAAAAATAAGGTTCTCTGAAAAGATTCTTTGAATTTTTTATCTCCTCATTTAATTTGTAAACAATCCTGTGAGATTGTTAATCCTCTCATTGTTAATCTCTTCATTTTATGGATGAAAGAACTGAGGCACAGAGATATTAATAATTTGTCCAGGATTTCATAGAGAATAGATAGCAGTGCCATAAATCTAGGCATTTGGCCCCAGAGGTTACTCTTAATCTGGGTATTTTCTTCTCAATTTCTACTCTCTCTAGCATCAGTCATACCCTGAGAGCCACAAGGAGAAGTTATGTTGGGGGTACTCTGTGTGTGGTCAGGTAGGTCGCTTGCTGCCAGAGTCTTATAGCCAAAGGGACAAGTAGTATCTGGAATCCAGCCTAGTCTCTGTTCATCTAGCCAGGCTGAGGAAGGAACACTGTTGCTATTTGATGCTGAAAACAAAAAACAAACAGAAAAAAACAGCTATGAGGGTTAGTGACATCCTTGGCTAAACTCTCATGGCTTTTTTCTCCTTCCCCCATTTTTTTCTCCTTCTCTCTTAAGACTTGGCACTTCTCCAGAAGGAGGAGGACAAGATGACAAAGTCTGGGGTGAGTTGAACCTCCTTTCTCAATAATAACTGTCATTTCATTTCTCAAAGATAGCACACACCTTGTTCTCTTTGTTAGGATGAAGGAGAACAGTAGACATGTGAGAGCCTCTTGTGTGCCAGATGCTTGCTTTTTACTTTTTTGTTTTTATTACTTTATTTTATGACTTTATAATTTGATAAATAAGCATGGAATAGAAAAGTCAGCAACAGAATAAAAATCTCTCATTTTCCTACGGTTTCCCTTACATAACAACTGTTTTGATTTTCCCGTGTTCTCTTCCTCAGATGTATTCATAACTGTGTATTTGTAAGCATTGTATAGATAAAATTTTCAAATTAATATTTTTTCTAATTAATATTATTTGCTCCACATTTTTCATGGCTACATTATAGTCCCTTGGATTGATGTACTCTGTGGTGTGTATGTGAGATAATTTGTGTTGATTCATCAACATTTAGGTAGGTTAGAATTTTTACTGAAAACTATTACTACAGTTTTCCCACAAATAACCATTTTTTTCCAAAAAGCAATTTGAAAGAGTTTTGCTATTATTTACTTCTATTGTTATAGAAACACTGTGTTGAAAAAGTAGTTTTGATATGTGGTACTTAGGGTATTTTGTATGTCAATTATTCAAATATGACATTGTGCAACATGATTTAACTGCTCAGAGAAAATATTAGATATTTTCACATAAGAAAGCTAGATTTTTGTTACCCAGGCCTGAATTACACCCTGTGTATGTTTATTTACTGATCTGTATTTTTTTTACTCTTATATTATTTTACTGAAGTAATAATGTACTTAATTTTAAAAGTCCAGTAGTACAAGAGGACTTACCAGATACTTTTCTTACTGTACTCCTCAAACCAACTTTATGAGGAAGTACTTGGTCTCATTTGCATTTTAATTACAAAAAAACAAGATTGTTCACTGGGTGCAGTGGCTCACGCCTATAATCCCAGCACTTTGCGGGGCTGAGGCAGGTGGATCATGAGGTTAAGAGATCGAGACCATCCTGGTCAACAAGGTGAAACCCCATCTCTACTAAAAATACAAAAAAATTAGCTGGGCATGGTGGTGCGCGCCTGTGGTCCCAGCTACTCGGGAGGCTGAGGCAGGAGAATTGCCTGAACCCAGGAGGTGAGCTGAGATCATGCCATTGCACTCCAGTCTGGGTAACAACAGCAAAACTCCATCTCAAGAAAAAAAAAAAAAAACAAAAAAACAAGATTGTAGAACTGTGGAAAGTTGCATAGTTGCACATAGGATACCAAAGATCCAACTAATTTAAAAAGACTCCAGGATTTTTACTTGATTGAAGAGAGAGAGGCAAAGGAAAATAATTCTTCACTCAGAGGACCTGGCCCTTTTTGTGTGGTTGCCTAGCTTGTCCTGCTTAATGGACGATGCCTCAGATAATACTGCCCCGATTTGATTCACTCTCCAGTGGCCCCTTCTCTATGATCACTGTCATTCATTTAGGGCACTTGAATGTGCAGGGCTCCAGGAATGAACAGTTTTCTTACGAAAATTTAAAACCATATGATATGCTGACTGGGCGCGGTGGCTCACGCCTGTAATCCCAGCACTTTGAGAGGCCGAGGCAGGTGGATCACTTGAGGTCAGGAATTTGAGACCCGCCTGGCCAAACATGGTGAAAATCCATCTCTACTAAACATAGAAAAATTAGCTTGGTGTGGTAGTGCACACCTGTAATCCCAGCTACACGGGAGGCTGAGGCAGGAGAATCACTTGAACCCAGGAGGTGGAGATTGCAGTGAGCTGAGATCAGGCTAGTGCACTCCAGCCTGGGCAACAGAGCAAGGCTCCATTTCAAAACAAAAACAGCCAGGCGCGATGGCTCAAGCCTGTAATCCCAGCACTTTGGGAGGCCGAGGCGGGTGGATCACAAGGTCAAGAGATCGAGACCATCCTGGTCAACATGGTGAAACCCCGTCTCTACTAAAAATACAAAAAATTAGCTGGGCATGGTGGCGCATTCCTGTAATCCCAGCTATTCAGGAGGCTGAGGCAGGAGAATTGCCTGAACCCAGGAGGTGGAGGTTGCAGTGAGCCGAGATCGTGCTATTGCACTCCAGCCTGGGTAACAAGAGCGAAACTCTGTCTCAAAAAAAACAAAAACAAAATGCTAGTGATTCTTTATCATGAGTGATTTTACCCCCCGACCCCTGGCCAGGCAACATCTGGAAACATTTCTGGTACCATAGGTCAGAGGTGCTACCAGCATCTAGTAGGTAGAAGCTAAGGATGCTGCAAAACACCCCACAGTGCCCTAGATACCCTTGCACAGCAGAGAACTATCCCACCCAAGCTATCAATAGTGCTGAGTTTGAGAAACATTTCTAAACACAAAGCTATACAAGAACACCAGCAAAATGTAGATGAACACCAACATATATGCTAAAAAATAAAGACTTAAAATCATCACTAGAAATTTTACAGAGCTCTAAGATAAAACTCTAAATGGACAGTAACAGGCGAGGTACCAAAGAAAAATAAAGATGGCTAGTAAATATATGAAAATATGATCTTACTAATTAAGTGTGGACCAAAAAACCAAGTTGTTTCTTACTGATCAGATTGCCAAAGATTTTTAAAAAATTGGTTATATTCAGTGTTGTCTATAATATAGAGAATCATGATACTTATATTCTCTTGGGGGAAGGGTAAGACAGGGAAAAACTGAAAAAAATGTGTCATTGTACATGATAATTTGGAAGTTGCATATTCTCTGACATTGCAGTTTTTCACTTCTTGGAACTTACCCTAAGGAAATAGGTGGGCTAATGTCTATGCAAAAAGTTGTTCTTTACAGCATTTATTATGAAAAGGAAAAGTCTCTAAAGTGCAATACACTTTATATGAAGTGTTTATGTATATTAAAGTTGAGTAATTTTTTTTAAGAATCTGGCACCTTTCCCTACACATCTTTTTCACTTTTCTCAGTGCTAGTCCTCTTCCAGTGGACCTTTGTTGCAAGATTTAGGTGGAGTGTGTTTGATGTTGTAGGAGGCAGTGACATTCAAGGACGTGGCTGTGGTCTTCTCAGAGGAGGAGCTGCGGCTGCTGGACCTTACCCAGAGGAAGCTGTACCGAGATGTGATGCTGGAGAATTTCAGGAATGTAGTCTCAGTGGGTGAGGACAGGCATTCTCTGACTGAACATTGGCTCCCTCTGCTGTCTCTCTGTCCTTGGGTATACAGGGCTTTGAAGTTCTTGAACTGGTTTTCAGTTTTCTAATCATCCATCATAAGGCATAGTTAAGGAATTTTTAAAGTCTTTTTGCCCTGGCAAAAGTATATCTTTTCTTAAAGAACTATAAATTGACTGCACAACAACTATACACTTCTATCCTTTCTCAAATTGTGGTTATCTCCAATTAGTGGGTCATGATACATTTGGTGAATTGTACTATTAGTTTTTTTTAATGAAATAAAATGGGGTAGAAAATGTCAGAGCACTTGCTAATAATTGCACATTGCAGCAAAAACTATGTCTTGTTGCCAAGAAGACTGTGAGAGACAATGGAGAGGGCATGATGAAAACACATTTTTTCCAGTAATTTATACTTACATCTGCATATCTTGGGTCTTTGCATGAAATATGCTTCCTCCAATGGGTCATAATTAGAAGTGTGGAAAACACTAATTTTGATGTCCTAAAGATGATGAAATGAGGACAAGAATTTTTAGTAATTTTGGCTTCTGATGTATTAATTATAAAACTATATTCCTGCCTTTTCACAGGGCATCAGTCCATACCAGATGGTCTACTCCAGTCAGAGAGAGAAGAAAAGCTGTGGATGATGAAGACAGCAACCCAGAGAGATAAATCCTCAGGTGAGGAGGAGTTGGTGGGGCTGCTGGACTTTTTTCTGTTAGTCTTGGAGATAGTCCAAGGTTGGTAAACAAAAATATGTGAGGAAGGCATAGCCTGGAACAGTTCTTTTCCCCTAATGAGTAGCTAATCTAATTCTATTATGTTAGGTACTTTTGGTTGTATGTAGATCTGTACCCATTAACCCACTTAGTTTGTTCAAGATGGTAAAACAAAATACTGGGGGACTTATAAACAACAGAAATTTATTTCTGACAGTTCAGAAATAAACTGGGGGACTTATGGACTGGGGGACTTATAAACAACAGAAATTTATTTCTGACAGTTCTGGAGGCTGGGAAGTCCAAGTTTACAGCAACAACAGATTCATTGTCTGCTGAGCGCCCACTTCCTGATCTAAAGACAATGCCTTGCCGTGTCCTTACCTGGAAGACGCAAGAAGTCTTTCTCAGGCCTCTTTTATAAGGGCACTAATCCTATTTGTGAAAAATCTGCCCTCATGATCTAATTACCTTCCTAATGCCTTAGGAGTTAGGATTTCAACATACAAACAATGGGGTCACACACATTGAGCCCATAGCACCCACATCTAATTGAAAGCTTAGCTTTAGTTGTAATCAAATTGAATATAATTTCCCCCTTGTGGCTTTCCTATAGCAATTAATAGTGAATCTTGCTCACTTGGTGAATAACTACTTTTTAGAATAAAGATTTTTTTTTTTTTTGAGATGGAGTTTCACTCTTGTTACCCAGGCTGGAGTGCAATGGCACGATCTCGGCTCACTGCAACCTCCGCCTCCTGGGTTCAAGCAATTCTCCTGCCTCAAGCTCCCGAGTAGCTGGGACTACAGGCGCACACCACCATGCCCAGCTAATTTTGGTATTTTTAGTAGAGACAGGGTTTCACCATGTTGACCAAGGTGGTCTCGATCTCTTGATCTCATGATCCACCTGCCTCGGCCTCCCAAAGTGCTGAGATTATAGGGGTGAGCCACCGCACCCAGCCTAGAATAAAGATTTTTAAAGCCACTTTTAAGGCAGGTCCTCTGTAAAAGAAAAATAACTTACAGAAGGAAAAAATAATGTTTAGAGAATAGCTTTTAAGTCTTTCCCTTTAAAGATTTTCTTTGTGGCAACCATTTACTTCTTCCAAAGAGAGTACAGAAAAGAATGTTACTCATCATTTTAGTCATTCCTTTTCAAATATGGTATGTATAGCAATGCCTTTATTTTCTATAAGATTAACCATAAGCAAATAAATGTTATAGAAGATAGCCATTAAATAAACATGTTAAAGAAGGTAGATTTTAGTTTTTCCTTCATTGTAATAAGGGCCTAACATCATTTTCGATTAGAAATATTATAACCTGGGCAGAATAGGGAAATTGCCCTCTTCAAATTGACACATTCTCAGGAAGACCAAAAAAAAAGTCACATGAAAACTTGTGGCCAGGCATGGTGGCTCATACCTGTAATTCCAGCACTTTGGGAGGCTGAGGCTGGCGGACCACCTGAGACCAGGAGTTCTAGACCAGCCTGGCCAACATGGTGAACTCCTGCCTCTACTAAAAATACAAAAATTAGCTGGGCATGGTGATGGGCGCCTGTAATCCCAGCTACTTGGGAGGCTGAAGCAGGAGAATCGCTTGAACCCAGGAGGCAGAGGTTGCAGTGAGCCTAGAGTGTGCCACTGCACTCCAGCCTGGGCATCAAGAATGAAACTCCATCTCAAAATAAATAAAGAAATTTTTAAAAAGTGAAAACTTGCAAAATACATACAGACATGACAAAACTATGTAGGCTTAAACTTAAAGGAAACACATTTATCTGTTTTCCAAGTTTCCATTATTACAATTTAACTTTCTATTTGAATAATTTGTTTGATTAAGAAATTAATACCTTTCTTAATCATTTAGGCTAGAACCTTTCAAACTTTTGAGTATGAGTTACAAAAAGAAATATTTCTATATCATGAACAATAAAACATCTACATCTGAGTATATGTGTGTGTGTGGCCTTGAAGAAGAATTTATGCGGAGAAATATATTTACTGCTTACAAAACACCTCTAATACTTTTCTATTCTGTTAATGCTTGTCACAAGCTACTGAATTGATTTCAAACTCACTAACAGTCCTAACTCACTAACAGTCCTAGCCTTCAGTTTGAAAAACAATGGTGTGATCCATATAGAAAAATTTATTTACATCCATCCATTTTTATAGTCTGCTTTCAGAGACAACATTGTTCCCGAGGCCCTAAATATTGACTCCTACTTGAAAAAGGAAAAATTTCAAACAGAGAGAGGAGAGAGAATAAAAATTTCAGAAGCAATCAATCCCTAGATCCCCTAGCCACTTTTCTGCCTTATGATTTTTTTTTTCTCCCCAGTAATTCTTACCATGATTTTGTGATCAGCATGATTTTCTCATCAGCACCATTCACTTAGCTTAGCCGTGCATCTGGTGAAATCTTTGACTTCCCAAAAGAATTGCTCTTTCTAGTCCCTTTCCTATTATGCATAGTTTACTTGAAAAAGTTCTTTCACTTTTGTAATTTGGTTTAAAGTCTCCCTGAGAAGACAAATGGGAATTTATTTATCCAACACATCTGTTGAACACGGTGTGTCACGCAGAGCTCTTGGGTGATGAAGAGGTGAATGATATAAAATTCTTGTCTTCATGGATGGCAACATCCATTCAACAGGGACATAAAAAATGGTAAGGGCGTATATAGTTGGTCAGAGGGTAATATGTGCTTTGTTAAAACAGGTGAATGGAAACTGCCAGGGGTGTAAGGTAGATGTGGATAATTTACTATTTGATATTGAGTGGTAAAGAGGACTCACTGGGCCGAGTGTGGGGTCTCACACCTGTAATCCCAATACTTTGGGAGGCTGAGGCAGGTGGATAGCTTAAGCTCAGGAGCTTGAAACCAGCCTAGGCAAGATGGTAAAACCCCATCTCTACAAAAAATACAAAAATTAGCCAGGTATGGTGGTGTGCTTCTGTAGTCCCAGCTTTTTGGGGGCACTAAGGCAGAAGAATCACTTGAGCCAGGAGGTTGAGGCTGCAGCAAGCCATGTTCATGCCTTTGCACTCCAGCCTGGGTGACAGTAAGACCCTGTCTCAAAAAAAAAACCAAAAAGAGGCCTTGCTGATAAGGTCTTATTTGAAGAGAGGGCTGAGAAATAAGCAAGGAGCAAGTTATATAGCAAACTGGGGGAACAGCATTCCAAGGAGAACATAACTCAGTTATGTTCAGTGTTGACTTTGAGATCTGTACTATTGCCTTACTTATTTTTTTCCTGGGAAATTCTTACTCTATTGTGAAAGATAGCTTCTAATTTTTCACTTTTACCCCCCTGGTGGTTATGGAAGCTTTAATTGCTATCAGGTTTTAGAATAATGAATGTTACTACCATAAACCTCTTCTCCCAGGTGTTCTTATGGAGGATATTTCCCAGCAAGCGATAAAGGACCATGATCCGTTTACACTCAAACTTTAGGTATATAGGTCAGCAATTCCCAATCTTTTTGGCACCAGGGACTGATTTGTTCAAAGACAGTATTTCCATAGACTCGGGGCGGGGGGATGGCTTTGAAATGAAACTGTTCTACCTCAGATCTTCAGGCCTCAGTTAGATTCTCATAGGAGCACGCAATCCAGATCCCTTGCATGTGCAGTTCACAATAGGATTTGCGCTCCTATAAGAATCTGATGACACCACTGATCTGGTAGGAGGCAAGAGCTCAGGTGGTAATGCTCACTTGCCTACTGCTCACCTCCTGCTGTGCAGCCCAGTTCATAAGAGACCATAGACTGGTACTAGTCCTGGTCCGTGGCTGAGAAGTTGGGACACCAACTTAGGTGATAAGATACTTTCTGTCAAATGTGTGTCTTTCTAACTAGCACAGTGCCTCAAAATCTCCTAACCTCAGAATAAACTTCCAATGAAATAATCCCAGGCAAAGGTTTTGATAATTTATATGGAGGAATTTTACTACACATTTTGAACAGGGCCACTTTGTTCAGAAGCCAAGTTTTGTGGAAGCTATTCATTAGACATCTGCTATAGCAAAAAATGAGGCTTTTGGCCAGGTGTGGTGGCTCACGCCTGTAGCACTTTGGGAGGCCGAGGTGGGTGGATCACAAGGTCAGGAGTTCAAGACTAGCCTGGCCAAGATAGTGAAACTCTGTCTTTACTAAAAATACAAAAATTAGCCAGGCACCTGTAATCTCAGCTCCTTGGGAGGCTGAGGCAAGATAATCAACTGAACCCGGGCAGAGATTGCAGTGAGCCAAGATCATGCCACTGCACTCTAGCCTGGGAGACAGAGCAAGATTCCATCTAAAAAAAAAAAAAAAAATGAGGCTTTTAGTAAGGTTCAATTTCTTGGTAAAGATTTCTTAGGAAATATGTTTCTTGTTCTGCAATCACCACGTTTCTACCTGGTAGCTCACATAGAAATTTAGTGTGATTCTAAGCGGGTCTTATTAATGTGTAGTGAATGAGAACCTGGTGACTCCCTCTTGGTTTCTTGGTACATGTACTTGATGATAAAGAAACATGGAACCTTCTCATGGTTGAATGAAGCCATAGGCTGTGGGCCTGAGTTTATAAACTTGATATCTTGGAACAAAACATTATTTACATACTCCATCTCCAAATTTTTTTTATCCTTTTAGGAGGCAAGCATCTAAAAGAGATGGAGACTCTTCAAGAGGTAGGATTAAGGTACCTGCCTCATGAAGAGCTTTTCTGCTCCCAGATCTGGCAACAGATTACAAGAGAATTAACCAAGTATCAAGATTCTGTGGTAAATATTCAAAGAACAGGATGTCAGTTGGAAAAACGAGATGATTTGCACTATAAAGGTGAAGGGTTCAGTAATCAGAGTTCCCATCTTCACGTTCACCACAGAGTCCACACTGGTGAAAAATCCTACAAAGGGGAACATTGTGTGAAAAGTTTCAACTGGAGCCCCCGTCTTCAAATTAACCAAAGGGCTTATGCAGGAGAGAAGCCCTACAAATGTGAAAAATGTGATAATGCCTTCCGTCGGTTTTCAAGTCTTCAAGCCCATCAGAGAGTCCACAGTGGAGCAAAATCATACATAGATGATGCGACTTATATGAGTTTCAGTCAGAGGTCACATCTTCACCATCATCAGAGAGTTGCTACTGGAGAGAATCCATACAAATATGAAGAATGTGGGAGGAATGTTGGGAAAAGCTCACATTGTCAAACTCCTCTGATAGTTCATACAGGAGAGAAACCCTATAAATGTGAGGACTGTGGGGTGAGCTTCAGTCAGAGATCATATCTTCAAGTTCATCTGAAAGTTCACACTGGAAAGAAACCGTATAAGTGTGAAGAGTGTGGGAAGAGCTTCAGTTGGCGTTCACGACTGCAGGCTCATCAGCGAATCCACACTGGCGAGAAGCCATACAAATGCAATGCCTGTGGTAAGAGCTTTAGTTACAGCTCACACCTTAACATTCATTGTAGAATCCACACAGGAGAGAAACCCTATAAATGTGAGGAATGTGGGAAAGGTTTCAGTGTGGGTTCACACCTTCAGGCCCATCAAATAAGCCACACGGGAGAGAAACCATACAAATGTGAGGAGTGTGGGAAAGGCTTCTGCCGGGTCTCAAATCTTCTGGACCATCAAAGAGGCCATACTGGAGAGAAACCATATCAGTGTGATGCATGTGGTAAGGGCTTCAGTCGTAGCTCAGATTTTAACATTCATTTTAGAGTCCATACAGGGGAAAAACCCTATAAATGTGAAGAGTGTGGCAAGGGCTTCAGCCAGGCCTCAAATCTTCTGGCCCATCAAAGAGGCCACACTGGAGAGAAACCCTACAAATGTGGTACATGTGGGAAGGGCTTCAGTCGGAGCTCAGATCTTAATGTACACTGTAGAATCCACACAGGAGAGAAACCCTATAAATGTGAGAAGTGTGGTAAGGCCTTCAGTCAGTTCTCCAGCCTTCAGGTGCATCAGAGAGTCCACACTGGAGAGAAACCGTATCAGTGTGCAGAGTGTGGGAAGGGCTTCAGTGTAGGTTCACAGCTTCAAGCTCATCAGAGGTGCCACACTGGAGAGAAACCCTATCAATGTGAGGAGTGTGGAAAGGGCTTCTGTCGGGCCTCAAATTTTCTGGCACATCGTGGAGTCCACACAGGAGAAAAACCATACCGATGTGATGTGTGTGGTAAGCGCTTCAGGCAGAGATCCTACCTTCAAGCCCACCAGAGGGTCCACACAGGAGAGAGACCATACAAATGTGAGGAATGTGGGAAAGTCTTCAGCTGGAGCTCATACCTTCAAGCCCATCAAAGAGTTCACACTGGAGAAAAACCATACAAATGTGAGGAGTGTGGGAAGGGCTTCAGTTGGAGCTCAAGTCTTATCATTCATCAGCGAGTTCATGCTGATGAAGGTGACAAAGACTTTCCTTCATCAGAGGAGTCACACAGGAAAGAAACTCAATAAAATATGTTTTACTCTCTTAGATGGGTGCTGAAATGTTTTAATTATCAGAGCTATCACAGACAAAACATTTATTTTATAGAGTCAATAGTTCAGCCAAATGACTGGGAGACCACACAGCAGAGAAGCTTCACAAGAGTGGAGATATACAGACTGCATTCAAAACACTGACCATTAGCTGTTACATGCAAACAAGAGAATTAGGAAGGATGAGTCTGATCTGGACTTAACCAGAAGTACTTAGATGGAAATGCTGAACTCTGTTCCAGTAGAATATAAGCTCCAAGAGGGTAGAGCCTTTGTTGACTGCCAAATCTACTTTGCCTTTTCAGTGCCTAAACTAATTTTTCAGTAATATTTGAAATTACTATTATATTTGAAATTCAGGCATATTTGACATTTTTATTATTTATCTCTAAAAATTTCTCTAAAATTGTACTCAGAAGAATTCTGCAAGGCTTGGAGGACATATGTTAGCCATATGGCCTGATTTTCCCGTGTTTGCAGGTCTTATGGAGGAGTATCAAACTGAAGGTTGCAGCTTGTTAATGGGTACAGAAATCAGTTTCTGGGGCTAGCAACTAGAAGTTTTGTATGTTAACAGTACTTTATTGAGGTGTAATCTGCATGCAATTACATGCACAAATTTCAAGTTTATGTCTTCCTGAATTTTGATAAATGTAATCATCACCAAGATCAATGTATACAATATCTCTATTAAACCAAAAATTTTCTTGTGCCCATTTCCAGTCACTCACACCTCCAGTGCCAAGTATTATGATTTCTAAATTATAAATTAATTAGGTCTGTTCCTGAGCTTCATATGGATTTAGTATGTACTCATATCTGAATTCTTATGGATCACATGTACGAATCGATCATCTCAGTAGATTCAGAGAAAACATTTGGCAAAATTCAGCATCTATTCATGATGAAAAAATTCTTCAATGAGATAAAAGGCATCTATGAAAATCATATAAGCTAACTTTTTTTAAAATTAAGGAATAATTTACATAAAGTGAAACTGACTCTAGTGTATCATTCCGCATTTTGGCAAGTGCTGTCATGTGAACACCACCATTACAATCAAGACATTTAACAGTTCTAGCACCCCCTGCCCTGAAACTTGCTTGTTCTGTTTAGTCATCCCCTCTCCCCATCACCAGCCTTTGTCAACCACTGACTCACTTTCTGTCTGTATAGTTTATCTTTTCCAGAATGTATAAGTGGAATCCTAGAGTATGTTTCCTTTGGAGTCTGGTACTTTTCACTTAACGCCCCTGAGACTCATCTGGCTTGTTGCATATATCGGCACAGAAGTCATTTCCTTGTATTGCTTAGTAGTAGGCTATCATATGAATGTTCCACAGTTTATCCATTTATCACTGGTGGGATATTTGGGTTTTCAGGTTTTAGTAATTATGAAGAAAGCTGTCAACATTTGCATATAGTTTTGTGTATTCACATTTTCTTTTGTCTTAGTTAACAGGAGTGGAATTGCTGGATTTTATTGTAACAGTATAGTTATCTATGAAAAACTGACAAACTTTACTAAAATAACTACTATTTTACCTTCCCACCACCAGTGTATGAAAGTCCAGTTAATTAACTTCAACAATTGGTATGTCAGGGTTTGGTTTGGTTTTTATTTTGTTATTAGGATTTCAAAGGTTTATAGGGGGATTTCATTTTGGTTTTAATTTACATTTCCCTATTGGCCACTGAGCATCTTTACTGCTTGTGTGCTACCCATATATCTATTTTTTTATATATCACAGATATCCGTATATCTGTGAAGTATGTTAAAATCTTTTGCTCATTTTTTTGAAAACCTGGATTGTTTGTTGTTAGTGATTTTTGAGATTCTTCATATCTTCTGGATACATATCTTTGTCAGTTATGTGTTTTGCAAATATATAGCATTATTTGGCTTGTGTTTTTATTCCATTATTGGTATTTTCACACTGGAAATTTATTTTAATTAAGTTCCATTTTTGTCTGATGAATTGTGCTTTTGGTTTCAATTATAAGAACTCTGCCTAATCCAAGGTCACAAAGATTTTTCTCCCACTTTTTATCACAACTTTTATGTTTTCAGGTTTTATATTTAGGTCTGTGATACATGTTAGTCTTTATATAAGATGTGAATTAATCTTTATATAAGGAAGGTCCATTATTTGCATATGAGAATCCAATTAACTATTCTTTCAATATTGACATGGCATCTTTGTGAATCCATTAACCATATATGCATGGGTCTTTTTCTGGCCTCAGTGCAGTTTCATTGATGTATGTGTCTATCATTTTGCCAAATATTGCACATCTTGACTTTTGTATCTGTATATGTCTTAAAACCAGATAGTGTGAGTCTTCCAACTCCATTATTTTCTTTTGGCTATCAAATTTGTTTGCCTTGCCATAATTTCTAGAATCAGCGTTGCCATCTGTAAAAATAATTTGCTTGGATTTTTATTGAGAGTGCAATGAACATATAGATGAGTTTGGGGACAACTGACATTTTAGCAATACTGAGAATGTTCTAAATCATACACACAGTATCTACCTATTTATTTAAGACTCCCATATTTCCTTCATCAGTAATTTGTAGTTTTAACATAGATCTTGCACATACTTTATTAGATTTGTACCTAAGTATTCCTTTTTTGGGGTTCTAAATTAAATAGTACTCTTTTTCAAATTTCAATTTACAATTGTTCTTTTTTAATATATGGAAATAAAATAGATTGCTTTATGTTGACTTTTGTCTCCTATGATCTCACCAAAGAGATATAAATTACCCTGCCTCCTTTTTCAGTGTCCTCTTGTAGCAAGATGGCTAACAGGAGCACCGTTTCTGCAGAAAGTAAAGTTGCCTTGCTGAGAAAAGTAAATTTCTGTTTGAGTGCTACTTTTGTGGCACTGAAAATTTACATAGAACAGCATCATTTGTTAAGAAGACTATTCTTTCCCCTACTAAATGGTCTTAGCACCCTTGTTGAAAATGAATTGGCAATAAATATCAGGACTTATTTGTGGACTTTTAATTCTATTCCACTGATTTATATGTCTACCTTTATGCCAGTACCGTACTGTAGTTTTCTAGTAACTTTTAAAATTGGGAAATGTGAATCCTTCAACTGTTCTTTTCTAAAGTTGTTTTGGTTATTTGGGGTCCCTTGCATTTCCATATGAATTTAAGATCAGCTGGTCAATTTTCTGGGGCAGGGGAGCCAGCTAGGATACTGATAAGAATTGCATTGAATCCATAGATCAGTTTGGGAGGTACTGCCATCTTAACAATATTAAATTTTCTCATCCGTGAACCACAGATATTTTTCCTTTTATTTAGGTCTTCTTTAATTTTTTTTTCAATGATGTTGTATAGTTTTCAGTGTACAAACTTTTTTCTTCATTTGTTAACTTTATTCCTAAGTATTTTCTTCTTTTAAATTTTATTGCAAATGGAATTGTTTTTCTTCTTTCATTTTTTGATTATTCTTTGATAGTGTGCAAGAACAGAATTGTTTTTGCATAGTGATCTTCCTGTAACTTTGCTGAACTCATTTACTACTCTTATTAGTTTTTTGTGATTTCTTTAGGAATTTATGTATATAAAATCATATCTGCAAATATAGTTTTACTTCTTCATTTTCCTTCTTCATTTCCATATACCTCTTATTTCATTTCTTTGCCTAGTTGTCCTGGCTAGAACCTCCAGCATGTATCAAATAGAAGTTGTAGGAGTTGGCCGGGCATGGTGCCTCATGCCCGTAGTCCCAGCACTTTAGGAAGCTGAGCTGAGCAGATCACCTCAGGTTAGGAGTTCAAGACCAGCATGGCCAACATGGTGAAACTCCATTTCTACTAAAAATACAAAAATTAGCCAGGCGTGGTTGTAGGTGCCTGTAATTCCAGCTACTCAGGAGGCTGAGGCAGGGCAATACCTTGAAGGTAGAGGTTGCAGTGTGCAGTGAGCTGAGATCATGCCACTGTACTCCAACCTAGGCAACAGAGTGAGACTCCCATCTCAAAAAACAAAAATCAAAAGTGGTGAGAGAGCACATCTTTGTTTTGTCTCTGATCTTAGAAAGTAGGTCTTTCACCATTAAGTGTGATATTAGCTGTGGGTTTTTTATAGATTCGCTTTATTGTGTTGAAGTTCCCTTCCATTTCTAATTTACTGAATGTGTTTTTTAAATCATGAACAGGTGTGCATATTTCATGGATTTCTGTATCATTTTTATTTCCTTTCTTTTGCCTGCTTTGGGTTTCAGATGTTCTTTTTTTGTTTGTTTCTTAAGGTAAAAGCTTAGGTCACTGTATTAGTCTTTTCTCACACTGCTATAAAGAAATCCCTGAGATTGAGTAACTTATAAAGAAAAGAGGTTTGATTGGCTTATAGTGCTGCAGGCTATACAGGAAGCATAGTGGCTTCTGCTTGTGGGGAGGTCTCAAGGAGCTTTAACTTATGGCAGAAGTCACATGGCTGGAGCAGGAGGAAGAAAGCAAGGGAGGAGGTGCCATGCCCTTATAAACAACCAGATCTGAGAATTCACTCACTATACAATACCAATGCTGAACCATTCATGAGAACTCCACACCCATCATCTATTTACTTCCCACCAGGCCCTACCTCCAACACTGGGGATTGCAATTCGACATGAGATTTGGTGAGGACACAGATCCAAACAATATCAGTCACTGATGGACTAATACAGTGTTTATCTTAAGAAACAAGAAAAAGAAGAGGATCTAAAACCCAAACCGTATCAGTCACTGAGACACTTGTCTTTTGATATAGGCATTTAATGCTATACATTTTCCTTGAAGTCTTATTTTATCTACATCCTATTCATTTTAATAGGTTTTTAATTTTTTTAAATTTTATTTGACGTGTAGACTGTGAAATGCTGGGTGGATGTGCTGGCTCACACCTGTAATCCCAGCACTCTGGGAGACCCAGGTGGACAGATTGCTTGAGATCAGGAGTTGGAGACTAGCTTGGTGAACATGGCAAAACCCCATCTCTACTAAAAAATACAAAAATTAGCAAGGTATGGTGGCTTACACCTATAGTCTCAGCTACTTGGGAGGCTGAGGCAGAACTGCTTGAACTTGGGAGGCGGAAGTTGCAGTGAGCTGAGATTGTGCCCACTGCTCTCTAGCCTGGGTGACAGAGTGAGACTGTCTCAAAAAAAAAAAAAAGAAAATTATTCGCTAGGCACAGTGGCTCATGCCTGTAATCCCAGCACTTTCGGAGGCTGAGGCAGGTGGGTCATGAGGTCAGGGGATCAAGACCAGTCAGACCAACATGGTGAAACCCTGTCTCTACTTAAAAAATACAAAATTAGCCAGGCGTGGTGACGTACACCTGTAATCCCAGCTACCTGAGAGGCTAAGGCAGGAGAATTGCTTGAACCCAGGAGGCAGAGGCTGCTGTGAGCCGAGAGCACACTATTGCACTCCAGCCTGGGTGACAAAGCGAGACTCCATCTCAAAAAAAAAAGTTATTTAGTTCCTGCTGTCTTTTTGTTATTGATTCCTAATCTAATTCTAATGTGGAATAGAGAACATATTCTATTTAACTTGAATCCTTATAAAGATTTTGAGATTTGTTGCATGGTCCAGGTTATGGCCTATCTTGACATATAATCTGTATGTACTTGGAAAAACTGGGCATTTTGCTGTTGTTTGGCAGAATGTTATGTCAACAAAATCTAATTGGTTGATTATATTGTTCAAGTCTTCTCTGT